TAAATAATTTATCATTGCTCACATCTTCCAAAGTTAATAAAATTGATTTTCCAAACCTTGTAGAAAAAGTTGACATATTCTTAATTATATATATTTCATCAATTGGTAATGATGATGAAGCATTTTGCTCTAGTTTTCAACCTCCTGTACAATCAAATTATTGATTTTATTTAAGTCTACTTTTGAAACGGACATGATGAAAATATGTATGATAATATAACCAATTTCCAACAGAAAAATACACTCACCGTCTTCCTTCTATTACGAACTGAATAACTCTCTACCAATTGCTTACTGCTGCAGATATATTCGTCTACTGATTTCATAGTGTGCTAGTCATTTCTTTTATGTTCAACAGCGCGAGTCACCCCCACCATGAAAGCATGAAAGGTTCACATTGCTAGTTGCTACCCACTAGAGATGCCTGACGTCACAGTCAAACCCACCTCCCAACTGGATGCGATAACAGATGCCGATACGAACGCCTGTTCGTATCGGCATCTGTGCTCTCGGAGAGGGCAGACCTTAGCACAGTCCTCGGCCACCTGCGTGTCACCATCGATAGCGAGGCTAGAGCGATGCGTTACGTCACAGCCTTCTCCACTTCGAGAGAGGTGAGGGCACACCGATGAATACGCATTACTCAGCCACACCTCGTGTAGTGAACATCTTGCTCTCTTACCGTTGAACGGTTGCTGCTGCTGTGACGTCACACCACTACTAACTTGGTGGCCTCACACCGATGGAGCATTCATTACTTGGAGGATCTTCGAAGTATGCAGACGTATGTTTGTACATAGACAACACATGATGAAATCCTGTACCGTGCATTCTCTCTCTCACACACACACACACAAAATTTCTTATGAAAAAAAAATCCTGAACGATCCATGAACCAGACACTTCAAGCTCACATCGCCTTGACTTCACTAAACAACAACGAAAAAAAAGCAATTAATACGTCATAGTGGTGGGGGGAGGCTTAGAACCGGCTCAAATCTCCTACTAATGTTCAATTGTTTTCTGTTATTTTCTTATTGTTAAATAAACATTATTATTATTATCATTATTGATATGTGGATAGGCTATAATGAGAGATGTTGATAGTTTGTTTTCAATTCACTGTTAGACTTCCGCCATTAAGTATTCCTATGGACCTTTGTGTTATTTTCTGTTGATCAACGGAATAATACAATTTTACTTAGTACATCCACAATTCAAGAAGGTTTTTGAGCTCTTGTTGATACTTTGGCCTGAGTTTGTTTTTGACTACTTTCGAAATTAATAAAAACACTTTTTCTGAAAGTTTCAGTATATTCTCTTCTTCTTGTTTTTTTTTTAAATTTTTTAGAAATCAAAGAATACCTGCAACGTCTCAGATCTTATTGTGATCATTTGTTTTTGTATTCACCATACATAACTGAATTCAAGTCACTCTTCTTTCTTCGGTACTGTCACTAATGAGAGTGGTCTGTCATTTCAAAAATTATTTTTCTGAGCTGAGTATCTTTCGATTGAGACCGTCAATACTGACAAAAACAAGTTGAATTTACTTACGTATTTTGACGTGCGGATTACGAATCCAAAATAATAAAAGCAGTGATCTTCCTTGTTTCCAGAGTTACAGCCCTACAAAGCTCTGAAATTTTCAGCCATCTTATTCCACAATACAAACTATAAAAAAATCAATAACCCATTCATCACGTGATGATATTCACCAGTTTTTCTCCGAAAAACTTAATTAAATTACGGAATTGCTTTTTGGTTATGAATCTCTCTGTTTTACCTTTTCCAGCATGAAAATCTGTTTTTCCGTTAACTAGCATCGCCCCTACGAACGACAACCTTAGAACAAGGTCTCACATTTCAACGTGCGATTCCTAGTCATAGTTAGTACTTACTATCAACAATTTAAATCCAATTCGAGTAGTTTTGCCTTCACTGAGACCTTCAATCGTAATTTCGTTGAAATATTTATAAATCGCTCAAGAACATCTGAAAATTATTAATGGATTGTACTTACGTTAAAGTATAACAATATGTTTTAGATGTTTACTCAAAAACTAATTACTTTTAATAAGTACTCACTTCTTCAAGTTCGAAATTTCAACATTCTCATGAGAAGTTGAAGATTGTCGTTTATATGATTGAGGAATCAGAGTTGGTTGAGAAGTTGCGGAAGATTATTGTAGTGAAGACTGTGAAGCTGATGGTTTTATGGTCAGCTCGGTTAATAATGACATAGTTTGTTAACTGCCTGTAGATGGACTTGCAAATGTTTGTTTAGTAATGGCTTTCGATAGATTACAAATTCAGGAAAATATTATTTTTTCAACAATCTTTTGAATGAAATTATCTATGATAACTACAATCCATATATTCACTTGGTGAAATTATGTCATTACATTTCAGGTATATATTTTTTGTAGTTTGGAAATGTTTTGGTTTCTGTTCTACTAACAGCTCAGGTAATAACGACATAGTTGTATATAGATTGTCTGTAGGTGAATATGCTATATTTTCTTTCGAGAAATTGCAATTTAGAAAGTAAAATATGTTTTCAGTAGTCTTATAAATGATTCATAACATTACCTATAATAATCCATATATCTACTAGGTTCAATAATGTCGTTATATTTGGAAAAATGGGATGACAAAAATCACTTTTGTCTGACTTTTACTCAGTGTTTAAATTGTTACGACCGGTTTCAGTTTGTTAAACCATTCTCTAGTAATCAGTTCACTTGAGAATGTTTAGTGAAAATCTCACAATAAAGTGTTTCTTGAAAACTGCTTAATTTGTATAGAATGCATTCTGAAATTGTTTAACGTTCCAGTTCATCTGAAGAAGCAACTGTGTAGTGGAACTCCTCTTGAATAAAGTTCATAGTGTGAAAATTTTTCGATTATTACCACTAATAACATTTCATTGAGTTCAAGATACAAATCAAGATTTTGTTTCAGATCCTGTGAGTCTTTAAGTTTGGCATGTCAGAATCGTCCACTATGTGAAATTTTGGTAGGAGTCGACAAACCTAAAATTTGCCAACTTTCCTGCGAATATGAACAACCACAGAAAATCCCGAAGAACTGTCAAGACGTTATGAAGAATGGTAACAATCATCTTCATTTGGGAATCTGTTTAAAATATGTTTTTCCGTTAATCAGCTATCGCCCCCATACGAACGACAACTTGTGCGAGCTAAGGACTAACGAGGCCTTACCTTTCAACGTGTGATTCCTAACACGATTGCAGAATCATCCCAGCTTCAACCAGATAAATTCTCTAGAGAATTCATCATCCCAGCTTCAACCAGATGAATTCTCTAGAGAAAAATATCTGGTCGAGGCAGGAATCGAACCCACGGTCTTCCGATCGTGAGTCGGGCACACTGCCACCGCGGCCAATTCCACAATGTTTTTAAACTTCACAAATTTCAACTATTCTTGAATTTGATTGAAAATTGAGTTATTTATGGAGATTCACAGTCACTGCAAAACTATTCTAAACCCTACGAAACTGGAGCTCGTTAGAATTTAACCACTTACATTAGATTAAAATCGCCATATATTTCATTCTTTCAGAAAACACTTCTAGGAAGTTCATTTTTCAAAAATTCACACAGGTATCCAAATAGAATCTGAAATGTATTACGTTGAATCTCAGATCAATGGACAGCTATAATTTGTCTCTTCTTTCTCACAGCGCCGTTGTAAAATGTCCCACTCATTCAACTTTTGTTTCTATATAATATCAATGTTGAATGGAATTTCTGTTAGAAGTCATCATTTCAAGTACTTTTTGATAAGTTGCATCACTTGTCGTCGACAGGGTGTTACCATTTTTTTTCGAATAGGAAAAAGTTCTTGTGGGTTCTTGTGATATCTCATTTGATAGGCATTTCAATTCTCTATCCAACACTCTTTCATTTTTGTAAATCACAACAGCCATTTTTGAGGATAATGAGGTCTGTTTAAAAAATTGTTCATTACATCATAATATGTTTCTCAAGTGATTTCGTTGCAGGAGCAAATAAACGATAAATATCATTATTTTCATAAAAATCACTTCCTGAGGATGATAAGGTCTGTTTACTAAATTATGTATTACATTATGAGTTTCTGAAGTGATTGTGTTGCACGAACCTTTATTCTACCCACGAGAATGAGCAAATAAACGATAAATATCATCATTTTAGCATTTTTTAAAAAATCACAATATTCACCGTTCACTTTCTGGGGATGATGAGGTCTGTTTTCAAAATGATTTATTACATTATATGTTTCTGAAATGATTTCGTTGTAGGAACCTTTTTTCTATCCACGCGTTATGAAATAAACCGTGGATGTCACAACTCAGCTGTCACGTTTTCTCTCAAAAATATCTGCAAGCGTCATATCAGGCGATTCAATAGGTATTTCTGAAGGACAACTTCTGCCTGTCTAGCCCTTTGGATAATTGTCAACTGATTATTACGTTTCAACAAGATCAGTTATATCTTCATTATGACAGTCGGGTTTGAAAGTTATTGGATAACAAATATCCAAACCGGATGAAGTGACCCTGAAAAAATTGAACCAGAATCATTTCATGATGTGAGATATTGTGAGAAAATTGAATTCGGAAACAAACTTCATTATCATCTGAAAGTGAATGGTGCACATTTTTAACATTTATTTGGATGAACTGGAGTGAGATTTGAATATATTTCTTATACTGTGGAATTTATCGTTTGTTTGCAGATTTTTGAAACGGATATGAAGTACTCATTTACTCAGAAACAGCTGAAACTATTTTCCAAAATGAAGGAGAATCGTATAGATAATTGAAATTCATGTCAAGCTAAATATCACAAGACTTCTGTTTCTTAAAAAAGAAGCCAGCGCCCTTTCAACAATGAGTATTTTTAGTCGGTCGATAGCCGGTCGGTTCGACGTGGGTGCTTTGTTCACTCACTCGAATCGACCGCCGTGTTAGTCGGTAGTTCAAGCCCCAGGAGAAACAATAGATTTGCACTTGCCATCGTCCAACCCATGTTAGGAATCACACGTTAAATGGTAAGACCTCGTTATTCCTTAGCTCCCACAAGTGTCGACTTCTAAGGGTTGTCGTTCGTAAAGGTGTGACTGAAAAACAGATTTCAAAAAGAGATTTCGTTAGATACGTTTAAAAGTGGTTCTGGTTCTTTCAACGAAGAAGGGTCTAGTTTCAGTTCTAATAAGAATTTCCAATTGGAAGATATCGAATGATTCCGTTGTTTTTTTCTTCATTAAAATATTGTGAAACTTCATTCATATGGTTTTGTTTTGGGCTCGAATCATCTGCAACATATACAGGGTCCTGCAACAGTGGCGCGGTGTTCCATATCTCTATATAGAAAGCAGATAGGAATCTAATTTTCTATATATCGATTTTCCATGAAAAATACAAATTTAAATTTCAATATTATTTTTTCAGTTTGTATTATTGTAAAAAAGATTTTGTTAATATATTCCAAATCCAGATAAACTTCTACAATATGCCTAAAATAGTCGAGACAATCAACGAGATCATTAGACTGAAATTCGAATGAAGTAAGATTATTTTTTGTAGTTTGTTATGCATCTGAATGACTCATTGCTTCAACTTAGCATCTTCAAAATATTCTATTCTGTTTCTAGTTCCAAACAGATCAGCTTTCATTTCAGATGATTCATGTGATCCCATTTAAAGTCTAGATTAATAAGTAGCGAAGATCCTAAAACGTTACTCCTAAGTAAGTTTCGAAAGTTGGTAATTGCCTAGAAAAGGAGCTGAGCGTCCACACTAGCGCAAGAGAATGGAAAGCTTTATAAACTTGGAGAGATATGCTCCGTTTTATAGTTCGCCGTTTTGTTTTATTCAATATTGCAAATTTTAAACTGGCACATCAATTCACCAATGGATAACGTGCATAACTGCTTCATTTTCATAATAATTACAGATTTACAGAAATACAGATATAATAACAGATTACTCACCACTCACGAGTGTAAGTCTGTACGAAAATGCAACATTTATAAGTAACTTTCTTTCAAAGCAAGTGGTACTTTTCTCAAGAGCTCACTTTCAAACCTGTCATTGGTTTGGAGGCGCAAGTCTCTGCAGCTTTTACTGCAACATAGCTAAATGCAACCAGAGTCCAAAAAATCACTTGAGAATTGGGAGAAAATCAATCAACCACCAATTATTCGGATTGTTTTTGAAATAATAAAATTGTTTTCTACTTCATCACTTGAAGATAAAAGTGAAGATGAAATGAATATATCGTTATCTCATTCCAAATTTTCAAAACTCAAATCGCTGTATTTATCGAATCATGTCTAACTGGGGCGTCATCAAATATAACCTAGTATGGTTGCAAATACTATGCATTTCCAATACTAGTTAAAACAAAAACTCTGAGATCCTAGAGAGCTTAATATTATCATGGCTCAAAACTGATACTTTTTTACAGATTCTTCAAAAAGTGGAACTTATCTAATAAAACCAAATGCAGCATCTGAGCCATTTTGGGTTTTATGTGATTTGAAATTGGATGGAGGCGGCTGGACACATATTCAAAAACGATATGATGGTTCACAAGATTTTGATTTGGGTTGGCGTGAATATAAGTTTGGTTTCGGAACTTTACTAGGAGAGTTTTGGATTGGACTTGAGAATATACATGCATTAACAGGTTTGTTCATGTTTTTAATCAATTTTTCTGGTATTAATTAGATTATTTCGATGTTTTTCACGAATCAGACACTCACTAATCCAACCAGTATTTTTGAGACTAAGCATAGCCCGTCATCCCATTACGACCAGCTCGATAGCTTTATTTGTAGACATGAAGATGTTGAGAATTAGAGTAATGACAACGCTGTTGGTGAACGACATTGTCTACGCATATGATTAACTTATTTATTATTGCAGTTTTATGTTTGGGTGGCTGATACATGTTGACTTGGAAAATTAAATTTTTTGCCCTAACAGTCACCCGATAGATTTTTCAGCTCCTACTTGGTATTTTGGCAACTTGTAGGGAGCTGTATTAACACACTCAATGAACTAAGTTTCCACAATAATGTTACGCCAGCCTGGATACACGGACACGAAGCACACAGGTGCAATGAGGAGGCACATGCTTCAACCCATTAAGGTGCATCCAAGGCTATGATAAATTCAAAACCCTTCTGTGGGCTGACAAATACCAACACAAATTCATCTTTCAATTCGTGGGTGCAAAGCAAATCGATAAATTGGTGGAACAAGCGTCCAGGAATGGGTCAGGCAGAATAGTTCATATAGGAACTCTATTCCAAATTCGCGGGAGACCTGCTAAACTACAACCGCAAGATTGCAAGGTTGGTGGTGAGTCTACTAACGGGACATGAAACATATGAGCATTATGGGCCTGGCAGAAAAAACTCAATTCTGGTTCTGCCAGAAGTAAGAAAAAACCGCACTGTAAGTGATATGTAGATGCGAAGCTTAGGAAAGGAAAAACCGGAAATAAGAAACAAGAAACCAAAAGCAATGATCTTATATAAAGGAGCCAATATGAAGACTTTGGAGTCTCATTAAAGAGGTCAAGTCATATGAACAGTTCTGATAACCCAGGAACATTATAGATGCCCAAGCTCTAGTTCGAGAGTTATTTACGACGCCATGAGTCACCTTTCCAACAAAAGACACATATCACCGAAATAACAACCAATAACAAAAGGGCTTTATTATGAGTACTTGAATCATGGTAGATGATTACTAGTCACCGAATAAGATAAGAATTAGCAATAGAACCACAGGAATAGAGTTGAAATGTTTTGCAAACTACATAGGAGATGGAAAGGCTTCTACTAGATGAACAAGGATGTAAGTAACTCGATATAACTTCGGGTAGGAAACCACTGGTCAAAATGGTTTTTGATCGTTTCAAACTCGAAAAAAAATGTACCTACTGGGGTCTTGATCCATCACACCTAGGTTATTCTGAGGAGCAAACCACTGGTTGTTCACGTAGAAGTGTTGGTTTCCTTTCATGTTATTCGATCCTTTCAAACCATAAAATAGATGAGGGGGCACTTAGTGGAAACACAAAAAAAAGGTCATGTAATCTGTCGCATTCAGATAACTACAGGGAGCCAACCACTTGTTCACGTAGGAATACTGGCTGCCCAATTATTGTACTCAATTCTTCCATTAATATATTCTTCTTCTGTTCATCAGTCATTGGACCCCACTGGACATATTAACTTGTAGCCTTCTGGATGTTATAGTCTGCCAGAGGATCATTTCTCAGTGTCGTAAGGGGGCGTGAAGGAACTGCGAATACAAACATATGTTCAGGCTGATTATATCAGAATTGAACAGGCAAGTTATCTGCATCAGACTTACTTGAATAGCTAGAGAATGGTACTGGCCAGCGATGTGCTGTAACTCAGCGCAGCGAATGTACTAAGCAACGGTTGAGCTTCTTGAATAGGCCAGAAAAGCATGAGAGAGCACCAAAGAATATACCGCAATGTTTGTCCTAACATATGCAGAAAAAAATCAATTCTGAGATCAATTCAGAATGTAATTCAAAACAAGCGATGAGTGAACAAGTGGAAAAAGTGCGGTTCCTTCGAAACAACTGAAGTATCTCTTCTCCATTTGGATAATATCGATCAATAATATCACATTCCGTTGAGAAATCACACACAAACGTAAATATATTCATCAACAATAAGCTTTCGTTTATTATGAACCAGGAGATTCCACAATCCTTACTGAAAAGCACTCTAAATCCCCCGTGAAAACGTCATGGAATTTTGTCTCACTGTTGTTTCTTTCAGGTTCTGAAGTTAACGAATTGTTAATAGAAATCACCGGAAAAGATGGAAAAACTGTTTATGCTAACTACAAAACATTCAAAGTTGATGGAGAAGATAATGGATATCGACTATCTGAACTTAAACATTACGTCGGTAGTGCTGGAGACTCCTTATCTTTTCATCTGGAGAGCGTATTCAGAACTAAAGATAATATATTCCATCCCGAAAAGAATTATAATTGGCCAGAAAAGTGCAGTGAGTATCAACGATATTTGAGTATTTCACAGCAAATACAGTTTAACCTCCTAGATGATGATACTAATTCTGTTCATTCAATAGGGCAATAATTAAATATAACAACTATGAGAAACCGATCATTCACATACTAAACAGATAACCATTTCAAACCTTATATGAGGTTATAAGTGAATCAGCTATCAGACATAACTATTTTTCAACAAAAACAAAAAAGTAAAATATATTGCTCACGTTCTGTGTTGAAAAAATTCAGATTGAAAATAAGTAACTCGAAAGTACAACAAAAATAAATTCAGTTTGAGAATATCACATGAGTGTCATAGGTTTAACACAAAAACATTGAAAGCTTCCCAGTTGAACATGTTGAACATCTTTCTGAATATCATCACCGAAATATTTCACTATACTACTCGTATAATCGAAATGTTTCTCGCACAAGTTTCGACTTCTGAGGGTTGTCGTTCGTAGGGGTGCGACAGCTGGTTAACGGAAAAACAGATTTTTTTTTTTTAACAGATTATACAGGAACACTCAAAACAGTTTTATTTTGAATGAATGGGTGAGTACCAGTAATGTAGCTGGTACAATAATTGAGTTTCGAGGTTTAAGATGTCCAATGTCCATATACTTTCATGTTTTGGTAACTTCATTTACACCTAGCGCAGATACTTCGTACTCTTTGTTATCAATCATTGCTCAACAAGATTGATAATCTCCGTTGTGGATATATTGTAACGTAACGTACGGGATTTTTCTAAATCTTCAGTTGAATTCGAATTGAATGTCACAACTGGAAAGGAATTCTTCAAGAGGTGTAGACAAATGTTAGTGATTCTTATTCATCGTCTCGTTCATGATGAACAAAAAAATGTATCTCCAATCAACGTACTTATATATTTATCATTTTTCTTGATTTCTGGTGGTGCTATTTGGAGAATCAAAAGAATAAATCTATTAGCAATGTCATGCTATTTGTTGTATGAACTGTTCAAAATAGATTCAAAAACTGTTTGAAGGAAGAGTTTACGCCTTCCTGGCTTTACCAGAAGAAATATTAGAACACTTTTTATCAGAAAAATAGGAAATCAATGAAAACTGCTAATAATTTGACAATTTATACGATTTTACATCTCTTGAAATAACACATTTTCAATTAAGCCCAGTTAATGAGAATCAGATTTTCACATTTTGTATTCATCTAGAGCATTCCATGATCTGAACTCTGATATGATTTCTGAAAGAAAGATTCTTCAATTTTTTGGCGAAGGAGCCTTTTTCAAAATACCATTATTGTTTCGATATGCTTTGCTCCCAATGAAAAAAATTTTCACGAATAGTTTGAAGGTGCATTATGTTGATACATCTAGTAGAAAGGTGGGAATATTGAAATTATAGTTGAAAGTTATTAGCATTTAAATTTTGAAGGCTTTATTGCCCGAAAATGTGTTCTCAACCAAGTTGTCTACATTATTTAATTACCTTCATTTCATTCAGACAACAATATCCAGTTACATGAAATGAAAATAGTAACCTATTATGTGGTTCGATTGAGTAACAAACAAATATTTTTTGTTTTCGATGTTGCCTCGAAATTTGGATATCAAAAGTTTATTTACGAAAATTATATCCATTTCACTAGGACGCCTTTCTGACAAACAACAGAGCATGTCAAAAATGATAAATTGGGCAAAAAATATGAAAAACAACAAACTCCTCAAAAAGAAGTTTGTTATTATTGATACGAATTCTTACCTAACGTATTGTGTAGACTAAATTTGCGACTCTTCTTTCACACATAATGAAGGGTAGGTATGGATGTTGGAATAATAGTACGTTCAAACATAAACTGAACTAATGCAGCTCATCTCACTACTCGATAAAGTTTCACTTCTTGAATTTTCGAAGTTCTCACAGAAGAAATTTCATATAGATAATTTCTCTACTAAACAAATTCAAAAGGAATAATATCCTCTGAAATGTACACTTTTCACCAGATTTAGCTACTTTACGAATCACCCAGAAATTTTGCAGTGTTACGAAAACTCAATTAACTACACTGAATAAAACAAAAGTTGAAACATTATCCAACCCTTTTCATTTATCAGTCGTTCCGGAATAATTAGCAGTTAATATTCGTTTCAAAAATATGCAAACCTCGATAAATATCATAAGTGTATGACATCCGTCGTAAAATTAGATCATTTGGTCTCTTGGATTGACTCACTAGATCATCTGTTATAACACCTCTGTATGTTTTCGGTGTGGATAGTAACACACCTTTATTTGAAGGTGGTTGATCAAGTTTCCTTGTGCATTTCATTATTTCGGACTTCCATTGTCTACTATGATATACATTGATTTGAAATCCCTGAAAAAATTTGTAACAAATTAAAAAAGAGAATAGCTGAAAAAATAACAATTGGAATCTTATGTTTTTTAATTTTCATTTCTTGTTAATAATTTTTTAATTTTCATGACATGTTAATCGTTCTTTTTTTCATCTTTTCGGTTGTTGCTTGTATTTCATTTCATTGTTTTGCTTAATATAATTATATTTTTTCCAGGTAATTTATTTTTCAATTTGTTACATGTTACATATTACAATGTTACATTTCAAATCAATTCATAGCATATTAGACAATGAAAGTCCGAACTAATTAAATATAATATGTGTACGATATACAACAACGGTTTATTTCAGAATTCGAGAATAGAAAAAGAGATGTTTGCAACAAAATTAGCCAGAAACATATCATGATGTGAGGAATGAATTTATGAACAGACTTTGTTATTGTATACCTTCTGAACATTCATTTGAATTACCTGAATTACCCTCTGCAGATTTCTGAGACGAATATGAAGCAATAACTTGAAAAGAGTCCATTCAATTTCAAAATACAAAATAGTGGTGAATAGAGATATGAAAACCCTATCAAGTATCATAGGATCCCCTTTCCATTCATCGTTCTCTCAGCGATAAGTTATGCAACTCTATTTTCTTTCTTGGTAAAAAGTACTAGAAGCGATAAAATTTTACTAAATTTTGTACGAGCTTGATATCTTGTTCCTTGCAGAACTTAGAAGGGGTGAAACTTCTCAGGTCCGTACTATATGATCCACATAGAAACAATAACAACGGTATAGAAAGGAGTAGAATTAAATATGTACCCCATAATTTATTTGTAAAAATAGAGGGGGAGAAAATTAAAAAATTTCGTTGAGAAAGTAATCTGCCATTTCAATAAAACAATCCAAATTCACATGTAACATTAACGAGTAAACATGTTAGTCACATAAGCTGTAGGAGTACGAGAAATATTTGGCTACTCAATAGATGCAATATACAAAATTGACATGTTTATAATAATATTCATTCAGTTGCAGCAGGGTTACCAATTCATTAGTGAACATTTCTGTCAGTATTTCCAAATATATGAGATTAATAGTATATTAATAACGTTACTAGAATTTATATTTCGGTGTATACCAATTATTTGAAATTCAATCGGTATATTATATAAGATCACGTGTGACAACAAAATCATTGTACACGGCACCATTCAGTTGTTGATGAGGTAGGAAATTTTAAATTCGAAAATAAGATATACACTCAAAAATCTATACAGAATTTTAAATACAGCCCTATATATTTTTTGATCATTCCTTCAGATTAGAAATCCTCTTTTCAACAATATAACACATGTATCCATTTTTATAGAAAATGGCATCAGAAGAGCTATTTTCTTCAATTTTATTATGGCAGCACTATCGTCATCTATAGAAATGTTGTCAAACAACTCAATGTAGCAAGGAACATTTTTCAATGTATTTCCCTGGAAATAAATAACGGTATCATCTGCAAAACTGATTGCTGCTCCTATAGTGTCAATTTTCCATAAATAAAACTTTCGATATATGAGGTGAAAACTGCTGAACCAACAACGGTTCCCTTTGGCACAACAGTTCTTTCAAAAGTAAAATCATTGAAACACAGATGAAATTACTGAATTTCTGAATGATATCATCTTTCTACCTGAAATGATGGGATCACTAAACCGTCTAATATTGTTTTCTTTCAGAGGGTGGTTGGTGGTACAAAAATGGCTTCCATAGTAGCTTAAACGGTGCCTTCCTGAATAACACTTTCATTCCTAAGAAAAATGAAGGATTGTACTGGAGAACATTCAAAGATGATCGATATGATCATCCCAAAACGAGGATGATGATCCGACCTGCTAATGACTTCTGGTACGAGCAAAGAAAACAGAGATTGGGAGATATTTCACTTGAAAATTAACATAAAATGAGTTGTTTCGCTGAAGAACGTCTTTCTAATGTATTTCTTGAGGCTTCTCTACTGGCTGCATCAAATTTAATATGTAAACTGTTTACAACTGTATTCCACAAATAAACGTTTCCCAGATCTACACATCCATATTATTAGTTGGTTCAATACAGGTTTCATACCGTATGAATAAATTTTCTAGTAGATGTATGGAAACATCGTGAAAATGAGAGTTAGAGGCCAAGGTATGAATTATAAGCCTCGTTATCATGATGGCTTCATGTCTATACAAACTCCGGAATGCGAACCAAGTAAGTCGACAACTTGTCTTTGTAGTATTTGGATGATTTCATGATGTTTAGCTGAACTTGATTTCTAATTCTAGCGTGACGTCCCACGTCGTACTAATAGTTCGATGCTGTAGTCAGTATCGAGAGTAATTGGATTATTTTCTGAATAATGCGAAATGAAGAATCACAGACAGGTGGAATTTCAACAACTACATATGTAGATAGTGAAATATCATACATGTTTTTGGGAAAGAAAGTTTTGGCTTTCTACTACTCCATCGTGATACAAAAAATGTGGTAATCTTCCAAAGAAAGGAAGGAAGTAATCAATTTGAAAATGAGTAACTCTATACATGGATGTGTAGATCATGCAAAGAAGAAACTTTCAGACAGAAACTGGAAGAAAGCCCTCCTGATACAGCTACTTTCATATAAACATTGAATTACACGAAATAAAAAATTCTTCCGAAACGAATACTTTTATATGAACACTGAGTTATACAGAAGATACTTTTCTCTATTCAGTTTGTATTCCAAACATTCGTTATGGAATAAAATCAGATATCATTCACAGGAGTTCTACTTTAAATGAATGGTAACAAATTGCACTTGTTAAGCGGCGTACACACATACATGTGAGTCGGCCGATATCAACTTTTTCATGTGATTTGTTTTGGTGTCACAAATTCCAATAAATGATCAAATTCTGTTTCGGCCATTGTTGAATAATTGGTGTAATCTTTCGCACTGTTATGAAGAGTCGCCAATTTTCTGGCGAAATACAAAGGCGAATTGTTGTATACATGTAGGTAATGTGTGAGCGTACAATATGCGAAATTTTATCGAAACCGGCTACTGACATCCGATGGTAGTTGAAAAATTTCTCAGGATGTTTCCTCAAATACTTTTTATGAAAAAAACTTTTTTTTAAATATTTGGCTAGTCAATGGATGAACCAAATATTTGCGAAATTTTTGATGACGTTTCTTTTTCTGCTTCTTAGTATTAGAGCAACAACACATACAGCTCTCTTGAAATCTATCTTCAAAGTGAAAATCGTGGCCAGTTTCGCGGTTTTTAAACGTAGTGTGTGCGTCTCGGGCGATTTTGCGGTTTACCGCTTGCGGAAAAAACCCTACTGCGGCCTCAGCCTAAAAGAAGTAGTGAAGAGGCACAAACATAGTATGAATTTCTCTCATTTATCCCCTTAGCCAGAATAACCAATAGGTCTCAATTTAGCAGGGCCATCCCCACTTATTTATTAAAGAAAACCTTTATCAAGTTAGTAGAGTAGCTAAGAGATTATGGGGCAAATGGCAACACCGCCTTATGGGAAATACCATGTAAATTTAGAGAAAAAAGCCAAGCTCCGTTTTGCAATTTTTTGTCCCAACATGGGAATCTCCATAAGACAGTGTTGTCAGATTTCCCCAAATCCACAAGATTTCATACACCATTCAGATGTCGCACGATCCACTGTATTGAAAATAAAAATAAAATAACTCTGCGCGCTCGTCCCAATACTATCTAGCTTTAAAGATGAAATTCAGACCACCCTCGTGTGGGTTAAAATTTTCCAAACTACCTGTTCTATATTAAAAAGTAGGGTCTGTGTGTGTGAACGACCGGGAGCCGTGATGTTGTAATTGATTTTAGACAGGTGTTGAAGTAGTGTGAAGTGAGAATATTAAATAACGTGCATTTGAAAAACAATATTGTAAAATCTCGTGAAGTATTAACCTGAAAAGCATCAATTTGAGTTGTGTCAAGGTGAGGTTAAGACGAATTGTAATTTAAGACATAGGTGTTGGAGTAGTATGAACTGAAGAGAGTAAACAATGTGCATTTGTATACGTTGTATACGTGCGTTGTGGAATTGGCCGCGGTGGTAGTGCGCCCGACTCACGATCGGAAGATCGTGGGTTCGATTCCCGCCTCGACCAGATATTTTTCTCGAAAGAATTCATCTGGTTGAAGCTGGAATGATTCTGCAACCGTGTTAGGAATCACACGTTAGAAGGTAAGACCTCGTTAGTCCTCAGCTCGCACAAGTTCACAACTTTTGAGAGTTGTCGTTCGTATGGGGGCGACAGCTGATTGACGGAAAAATATATTTTAAACTGAGGGAATATTTGTTTAAAGGTAATTGACAATGTTTCTTGATGAATTTCACTAGTTCGGACTTCCATTGTCTACTATATAAAATGAATTGAAATCCCTGAAACAACTAAAAAGGAGAATTGAAAATGAACAGCTGAAATTAACAATTATATTAACCAAAATAAACCTAAAATGAAATAATTGTGAAATAAAATACAAGTAAAAATAGAACAATTGAATAAATAAAAATAAAGAAATGAAAAAAGAAATAAAATAAAAAGTGAAGAGATTCCAAGTCACGTTAGTTCACGACGTTTCGATTGTTAGTATCTACA